CCACATTTGAAATACATTAAGCACTATTATGATACAGAGATCAGTTCCCTTCTTGAAAGTCCGACATCTGTGTCAGTTTTAGATTGAATTCCAATGTTCTTCGTCTCTCTGGCAGTCTTTGATAATATGGTGAGCATTTTGAGTTTTAACTTGTTGGGATCTGAGGGTTTTTCTGTTCCTGAAAATACTTTTGCATTTTGCTCTGGGGTACAGCTGTGTTAGGTTGTAATCATTCCTTATTTTAGGATCTGGCTCTTAAAATTTGCCTCATTCCAGCAGTTCAGCAGTTTCTCTAGGGCTAACTGTTTCCCACTTCTGAGCCAAGATCATTCCGAGGTTTTTTTGGGGGGAGGGGCACCTGCTAAGAGCAGGCACCACTCCTGCCCTGTGAGCACTGGCCCTGTCCTGTGACCTCTGGTCCAGACCCCCAACATTCTCATATGGTTCTTTCCCAACCTCAAGTAGTGCACACACACACACACACACACACACACACACACAGAGTTAGCTCCTTGCTGAGTGATCTATGAGAGCCATCTTTGGGAGATGTGAGTCATTTCTGCACAGCTTTCTTCTTTATGGTCCTCTGTACCGGTCACCTTGGTTTCTCCAATCCCTGGATCCCATCTGTTTAGCTTCTAAACTACTGGCTCCTCTCTCATTTCTTTCCTCTCTGCTGCAACCCAGGATCTCCCCCAAGGCATCACACTGGGGTAACTGTGGGGCTTATTTGGTTTGCTCATCCTCTTTCAAGGACTAATGACTCTCAGTGAGCAGGGGTGGATCTCAGTGAGCAGGGGTGGATTTCAGTGAGGAGGGGTGGATCTCAGTGAGCAGGGGTGGATCTCAGTGAGCAGGGGTGGATCTCAGTGAGCAGGGGTGGATCTTAGTGAGGAAAGGTGGATCTCAGTGAGCAGGGGTGGGTCTCAGTGAGCAGGGGTGGATCTCAGTGAGCAGAGGTGGATCTCAGTGAGCAGGGGTGGATCTCAGTGAGCAGGGGTGGATCTCTGTAAGAAGGTTCTGGCGAGGGAGATAGGAATGAGTTAATAGGCAGAAGACAGCGTAGGGAGTTCATTATGTGCTGCAGTGAGAGATTAGGGACATTCTTGTCTGACTGGCAATCTTGAGGGTAAAGTAAAAAGCAGGTCATCGGTGGAGACTAAAATGAAGGAGAAAGTGCTAGAATGCTGAGAAAGAACAATGGTATAAAGTAACAACGCCCCGAGAGAACGGAAGAGCAAATGGGCACAGGTCCCTACACCACTGAGCCCCTTGGAGTTCCTGGCCATGAATTTAAAGCAGAAGCAGCCACACTCAGGTCCCTGGGCACTGACTGGACCAGTCAGTGAGCTGGGTTCAGCAGCTGTGAGGACAGAGACAAGGGAGTGGAGGATGTGCCCAAGAGACCGACTGGACAAGAGAGGAAGGTAAGCATTAGAGAAGGGGACAGGGTCAGGAGACAGTAGACAGAGGGACTGAGGAGTGGGGTTAATATTCTGATCCCGCCCCTTGGCGCCACCCTATGTCCTGACATGAAAGTCTCTTCATAAGGAAAAGCTCCGCCCCCTCTCTCTCTCCTCTCCCTCCACTTCCACGAGGTGTGCACCCCTCGACCCCCCTCTCTTTTTTTCTCCCCCCCTTCTTTCCTATCTTCTCTTCATCCTATTAAAATAAACCATTTTTGCGTGGATGTAGTGTCTGGATTGTGAATGTCTACCTGCCGCCCGGCTGCCATGCCCTAATGGAGTGGGTCGCCAGTCACCTGCTGCTGCATCTGCCCAGCATGCCAGCATGTTTCCCTGCATGCACAGTAGATAATTCATAACAAGAGATGGGTCAGAAAAACTCCTAGAAATAAGCTGGGAAAGATAAGCAGGGCTGGTCTGAGAGTGAATGAGGGTTTATTGATAAAGACAAGGTCGAGAGCAGGGCTACTCAGTGAGTAGTGCAAGGATGGCAACCTGGTTGTAAATTGCATGTGCAACAGGCTGTGTTTAAGAATTGATCTAGGCAGTGGTGGCGCACGCCTTTAATCCCAGCACCTGGGAAGCAGAGGCAGGCAATCTCTGTGAGTTCGAGGCCAACCTGGTCTACAGAGTGAATTCCAGGGCAGCCAGGGCTACACAGAGAAGGCGGGGGGGGGGGGGGCGCAGGGGAGACATAGGACTTGAAAGTAAACATTTAGAAATATGAGTGTAACAGTCCATGGACTTGGACTTGGAATGCCTTTGAGTTTTGGGAATGAGTTCTGAACCCAGGTCCAAGGCATGGCAAGGACTCTACCATGGAGTTAACATCTGAAGTCCCACCTTCACCCCTGTAAACTTGACACAGAGTCTTACGAATTTGCCCAGACTTGACTTGAATTTGTGATCCTCCTGCCTCACCCTCCAGGTAGCTGGGATCAAGGCTCTCATCCCCGTTTCCTGCAGTGGACTGCCTGGTTTTTGTTTCATTATCTCATTTACCTATTAACTTGTACTGACTTTTACAAAGTCATGGGTCTGCAGCAAGTTGGACACAAACATTAAAAAATCTGGTTCTTCTCCCATAGCAGAAGCACAGTGTGTGTGTGTGTGTGTGTGTGTGTGTGTGTGTGTGTGTGTGTGTGTGTGTGGCTGTGTATGGTAGTCTCTGCATGGAGAAAAAGGGCATTGGCAGAGAAGAATTGGAAGGACCATATCCTTAAATAATGAAGTTATCCGTTATATATATGAGAAGGTCAGCTAAGCAGATCTATGGGAGGCCATTCTCAATATGTGCTATGCAAACAGTACAACTTCAGGTGCTCTTTGAGGGTTCAGGAAAGTGGCTATTCAAGGATTCAGGGAAGTGGCCATCTGAGAGTCCAGGGAAGTAGCCATTCTCCTCCCCATTTTACAGAAAACAGACTCAGAGTGGTTGAGTAATTGTGTAGACTCACAGCCGCTAAAGGTCAGGATCAAGGTCGGAGCCTGCGTGTGTCTCTTGTACCAAAGCTGAATTCTAACTACACCACCACACTCTCCGCTCATGGTTACAGTTAGAGGGTCAGCCTGGGCTAAATTTCTTGAAACCCAAGGAAAATGCCTTTTGGAAATGTTTTGTGGGCTGTGTGGCCATGGAGGGTGTTTGGGTTTCTTTAGAGACACAACTCATCACAGCAGCTCTGTTGATCCATAGCCCTTTGCTGCTAGACCTGATCCCTCCAGTTAGCCTTTGTTCAACCAGGAGTCTGAAGCGCCCCAGGAATCCAATATCCAATATCACTGCGGGGTTCCCGCCATTTGTCTTCTTGTGCCTTAGCAGTCACATATGAATTAGAAGCATCTGATAGTCATTGGCAAAAGGGGAAATTGCAGATGATTTTAATGCTTTCTGTCAAAACGTGTATGGCTATGTGACGTTTACGGTCTGTGAAGGTCTATTAGAGATCTATACTTTTTGTTTGTTTGTTGCTACTGTTTGGGTTTTTGGTTTTTGTTTTTGGAAACAAGGCCTTGCTATGTAGCCCAGGTTAGCCTCACACTCACAATCCTCCTTCCTCTGCCTACTAAATGCTGGGATTACGTGCACACTACTCCCAGCTACTGTGTCAAACCATCTTGTTTGTTTATAAACTTATAAACTCTTGGGAACTCTCCAGTTTCTGATATGGGCTGCGAAGGCTTTTACCCTCCTCCATGTCCAAGTCCAGGAAAAGCTGGTGTTGCCAGGTACCAAAAACAATGTAAGCCTTTTTATTTTTAGGGACTTGCTGGGCTCCTTTGTCACTTGGCTCTCCTGTGGGCTTAGGAAGTAAAATAATATGAGCTAAAGCTTGTCCCCACGCCACTTGCTCGAGGTACCCTTTTCCTCAAAAGCCTTCCCTGGTGTGTCTGGATGGCTCTCCAGGCAGCCTCTGTAATGGCAAGGCTAATGCATAGACAGGGCCGGACACACAGTATACAGTAGATGCTCAATAAGTGTGAATAAAAAAAAATGAGTGACCAACTCCTCCTTGGTGATGAGGTGATGGGTGTAGTCTTCTCCACCTTAAGAATGTCACTACCATTTATGTCTATAAAAGTGTATGAGAAGGATATTTGGACCCACCAGGGTTAAGGATCATTTTTGCACTCAAGCATGACTTTGTCTCTGGGATTACAGAAGAAATGCAAACCCCACCCAAATAAGCAAATACAATTGGCGAGGTCAGGTATGACCCCTCAGTTCATCTCGAAAGAATCAAAGTAAAAAATAGCCGCAGAATTTTACTTAAAAAAAAAAAATAGTACTGCAAATAACACTTTTGGTGTGTGTGGGGGGAAACATCCTTAAAAATATTTATTATAATAAACCATTAATCATCACAGCTGTCATCTGAGGGGAATATAGAGCCCCTGGTTGGCTTCATAAGTGTTGCTAAAGTTTTCCAATGCCTGCTATTAACCGTTGTTATTAGTGTGAGGTTTAACACCCGAGCCTCTTTTGGGGCACATGTCGGTAGAGAAAGTGTGCTTAGAGGCCTGAGAACGTCCACAAAAAGGGGCCTGTTCTTTCCTTCCATCTTGCCACATTGTTTGTTTCGTCAATAAGAAATGTGGCTGGCATGGCAGGCAAGAGGGATATGCAGAAAATTTCACGTGACTTCTTTTTCTAAATTCATATTTCTCTATAAGTTCATATTCTGGTTGGATGGAGAATGTTTTGATTTCAGTTTTTTCCTCGTTGTTGGGAAGGGTCAGGAATCATAGTCTAACGACCGAGGTAAGGGTCTACTTTGTCTACAAAAACCTATAAACCTAGCAAAAACTCAACTCTCCTGTCTCAGTAGAGAATTCGTCCTCTTCTACATTTAAAGACAAAATAAAATACAGAAGACAGTTACATCCTAGGTTTTTTATTATATCTTTTGAAATAATTTGTATATACCTTTTATATAATTCTGTGTGCCACAAAAAATAATGTTAATCGTACAAAATCAAAAGTTTAAAAAAAAAAGCCCTAAGTATAATTTTTAAAATCTTTTTCTCCTCAAGCGTTTTACGATGGGATAATGAGACAGATGTCTCTCAACTGGAAGGACATTTTGACATTGTTATGTGCGCTGACTGGTAAGTACATAAAAATCATAAAACTCCTGTTAGGGGGAAAAAAATAGCTTCTCTGGAGTAATTGGGCTGCACTGCTTTGCTGATGGCTAAGGAAAGTCAACAAATGAAGCACAAAGCCACCTTAACCTCAACAAATTAATATTCATCTCCATGTGACAGTTAGGAGGTAGTCTTCTATCACACAGTAACTTCTACCACATTATTTCCCAAAGATTGATTTTCAGAAGCATTTCCATTTTCTGGAATTGCCTCTGTTTCATGCTTGACGTATCAGTAAATGGACGACTTAGGCAAATTGCAAATAATTATGGCTCGGAGAGGAACAGTCTGGAGAAAAAGGAGTTTATCAACACAAACAGCTCAATTAGCTTCCTTCTTGGGAGAGATCTGATATAAGGGATATACATGTGTACACACATATAGACTCTTTGGTAAATAAACATATCTGTGAAATATCTTGTGGGAAATAGCCTTTCTTAAAGTGTACTTGATATCTGATGTTTTCGGAGCTGATTCTTAGTTATACGGAACACCACGATTACACAATCACATTTTATTCTTATGCAAATAACATCCAAATTTGTCAGGTGTCTAATCTTTTTAAATAAATTTACCCTAGACATTCTGTCTTCCACCTTAGCCCAATCTGCTTATTTGTTAATGGGAGCCTGAACCCCATAGACCTTCGTAATTATTTCAACTGATTTTGTGCCTTTCTTCATTCAGTCTGGGTAGCTATTTCTGCATATGGAACACGTGAGTGAGCCATAAGCGAGTGTTCTCCCTGTTCAGGGTAAGGTCTTACTTGGAGTTTCCGCATGATCATGATTCCGTTAGATTTGAAAATAGGGAATTCAGGTTCGGACTTGCTGTTACACTGATGAGAACCCTGAGTGGATCTCAGTCAGAGGAAGGTAGACACGTTTTTCAGGAAGTAACTTTATCACTATTTAAAGACAAGTTCCAGTGTCCAACTTTCCCACCAAGTCAATGAGATTAGGGTTTGTTTTGTTTCGTTGGGTTTTGTTTTTGTTTTTGTTTTTGTTTTGAGACAGAGTTTCTCTGTGTGTGTAGCCCTGGCTGTCCTGGAACCTTCTCTGTAGACCAGGCTAGCCTCGAACTCAGAGCGATCTGCCTGCCTCTGCCTCCCGAGTGCTGGGATCAAAGGCGTGCGCCGCCGCCGCCGCCGCCGCCGCCGCCGCCGCCGCCACCACCACCACCACCCTTAAATGACTTTTTAATTCCCTCTCCTCCTTCTCCTATTACTACTGCTACTATTTTTTTTTTTTTGGACTTTGCAGTAAACAGTAAATATTTTGTCCTGCTTTTAGCTAAGAATTCCCAGTTTTCCAGGACCGTTTTGGTCTCCTTGCACTGACTGCTACACCCCTTTTTCCAAATACGGGAGAAGCCTAGATTTCCGGCTGATCAGTGACAACATGCCTCCATGCTGCGCTCCCCCATCGAATCAAAAAGGAGCTCAAACCAAGCCACGTGGTTTACCAAGTAATTTAGTAAATGCCTTTCCTCACTGAACATGAGAAAGGATCCTCCAGGTTTCATTTTACAGATGAAGATAATTCGGGCAGGATTAGATAAGATTAAGCAGGAGAGATTAAGCAGCAAGACTGACAGGAATGGTGTCTTCTTGAAGGTTCAGATGAGGGTCACACCCGATGTGCTCTGATGATGTGGGAAAGGCAGGAATGGCCAAGAGATTTACAGTTAAATTGTCCTTCGCACAAATATCAGCACGGCCTCGCTTTGCCATGCTTGTGTCTCGGACACTCACACCATGTCATCCTATTTGTCCCAGAGGAACTAGCAGAGAAAATAAGAGTTAAGCTCTTTCTGAATAATGTTCTCAGTTAGGTTAAAAATAGCTGCACAACGTGTTTGAAAAATAGTCTTTTTGTCCCCTCCTAACCGACAACAGGGTCTTAGAGAATTGATAAACACGGTGCATATTCAGCTTAAGGCTTTCATTACAGATACATAACACAATGCAATCTTATACACACACATCTGGTGGGTATGTAAGAATTATTTATGGATTCAAATGAACTAAATACCCGAGGCTTCATTTTATAAATGGCTTTTCTATGCATGAATCGATGGTTAAGGTTTTTTTCCCCCTGGTGTTATAAGTGCCCGAATGTCAGCCTGTCTGTAATTTCCCATTTGTAAATGTAAAACATTAAGCTACTCTTTACGGTGATGCTGATATTATTTCCAAAAGAAATGCTTTGGTAATGGTCTCTCTTCATATTCACGGAGATGGCTAAGCTGCTTAGAAACTTCGAAAGTACGGTGATGTGTAATATCCATGCTGTTGTACATCTGGTGGTGAAGTGTAGGGTTCCACGTGGCCCTCACAGTCAGTTGGCTGGGTGTTGCTCCTCAGGAGTTACTGCATGGATGCTGCTTCTATGGGGCAGGCAGACCACCCTGAATTATTTAGGATGCTACAGAGCATCGAAAGAAGGCTGCCTGTAGACGCCACCTCCATGATGAAACCCAAAATATTCAATGCGAGCAAGAGGGGCCACACTTTAATAGCTCGCGTTCAATCTCACGCCACTCTTTGTCACTGTCAGTTAGTGAACTCTGGAGTGGGCCATGTGAGGCACAAGTTGAAGTCTGGATATTAGGTACATGAATTAAATTCTTACGGAAGCATTTCCAGCAAGGGTGGCCTTGTTTGATTCGTTGACTGGCTAACCCCAGTCAGTAGTACTTCTTGATCCCATTTACATGAAAATAAGCTCCATTCGCTCACCTAGCCCAAACCCACATTGTGGTTCCAGTAAAATGCACACGATTATGGCAAGTGGTGATATGTTTATGTTCTTAAATCATTCATGTATTCCTATATTTACATTCAAATGTTCATAAACCTGTGGGTAGTGTGTGTGTGTGTGTGTGTGTGTGTGTGTGTGTGTGTGTGTGTGTGTGGATGGGTGGGTGGAGGGGGGCAATGACTCATTTCCCACAAGAGACAGTCCGTCCCTTACTCCAGATCCAAATTTTTAGTCTCTCAACTTGATGATAAAATAAAGAGCAAACTGTGAAAGCTAGTCATTATTTCGCCATTCAGCATTTTTGACAATGGAAAATAGTTTCATGGTTCAATAGTTCCTAAAGAACTTGTAAAATGTCAACTTTGAAATAAACAGAAAGAAACATGGAGGTACAGTCACACCTATAAAAAAAAGTGGAGGGCTGTTGACAAGTATCAAAATATTAGAATATTTAAGCCCAGGGATAGGGAGGAAAAAACCTGCCTATTAAGTGCTTCCATTGATTTACTCAATGTTGAGTTTAATAGAAGCATTCCTTTCTGCAGGAATGCAGTGGGGCCCGTCCTCGCCGCGTTATGAAGAGCAAGCCTTGCTAATTCTTAGCCCGCCTTTCCAGACTCTGGTTCAATCACACTCACAATCTGAGAGTCTGGAAGTAAGGTTTTCTTTTTTCCCATCCAACGAATGCTTCCGTTTATCTTACCATTTGATGGCTCTCCAGTTTATTGTAGTTCTGCAAATACAGAAATGACTTGGTGCATTTGAATCTCACAAGGCTTAGAAAGCGTGTCTGAAAGGCTACCCACTGCCTGACCCGTGGAACTGGATGCCTAGGACAGTCAGTACATCTCTGAGTCTGAAGCTGAGGGCTTGGTAGAGGAGCAGGAGCTTGTACACGGACCTGCCTCCCTCCCTGCACAGGCCACCTTGCCTGCTCCTTCAGCATCTTTACACTGATTGCATACTCTGTAGGTTGTTCCTTTCCCATTTCTTTTACACTTTCTTCTAAATGATGAAAAAAAAAAAAAAAGAAACCTGTTTGGCTTTTAAGTTGTTTTTATGAAAAAGTTTCCCCCCCCCCTCAAAATGGAAATGCCATAGGCTTTGAAAGGTCCCTTGTCTTCCAGCTACTGTGATGATGGCCAGCCTAATCACATCTCACAGTCCCTGGCCCCTGAAAAGGTCTTTAGCTCCGGTGTAATCAGCCCTTTCACTTCACCTGGGAGGACTCAGCCTCTGTGAAATTCCCCAAAGAGCCCAGAATCTCACAACTGAAGGGGCAAAGCCAAGTGAGGTTCGAACATCACTGGGCGCTGCCTCCAAAACAGGTTCGGGAATGCAGACAGAGACCGTCCCTCTGTTGAAAGTGAAATCTAAAACAGCGAATCCCACCATGAAGACTGCCCAGGGGTTTTTCCTTTCTGTGCCTATTGACAAGAAAGAGCCATCTCCTGATGCTCTGGAGGAATGAATGACTTTCTCCAGGAGAAGAATGACAGGTGCTCCTAGCTCTGCAGACAGCGGATTCTTAAGGAGGTCACGAGGATTCAACACCTTCCCTTTGTCAGAAGATCTGATTCGGATCAGTGGAACAAAGCAATTGTTGCTGCCGCGGGCAATGACCTGGAGGTGTACGCGTGTGGGAGAGTGTGTGTTTTAATGGCCAAACTGGACTGTCAAGGTATTTTGATCCCTAACTAAAGGGAGAGTTGAAAGGTATCTCCATCCCAATCACTGACCCACTCAGCCTTTTTAAATAGATCCACTTAAGCTACTGCTGTTCTCCGAGCCATTAGGACTTATTTAAGGGGTGAATTTTCAGGAGATTACATATCACTCCCACTAAAGCACATTGAAATTGCTCATACAACGTACCCTACAAAGCGTTATGAATTCTGCATCGAAGCTAAGTAGAAAAGTGAGCTTGCTTGGAATAAAGATCTTTTTAGAGGACTACAAGAATTACTTTTGGGAAATTTGATTTGGAACGATGGGGTAGGTGCCATTACCTTTGAAATGACTGTGTTTGGAATGTGTTCCGGGTGTTAAGCTGCACTTTGCAGTTTGCGGTGATGTTAACCTCTTTGTCGCCGTTACCAACGCACAGGGGAAAAAGTGTTCTGTGAGGGCATGCTGGAGGCTCAGCTGGCAATGTGCTTGCTCTTCGTCTCTTTCTAAGAGCTGCTGAGGCTCTTAGAAAACGCTGGAATAAACCGAGAAGAGTCCTTTGCTCAGCTTCTACGTATCCAACCAGCCAGAGGTCTCTTGTAGGCCCCCATGACCACCACAGTCAATATATCAACAATATCAAACTGCAAATACTATCTAACCTCCCTAAAGAATGAGATGGAGTGTCCTGAAAAACACGATTTGTAACAGACGTAGTTCCAACCTGGTGTGTCCCTCATCAATCTTTAATGATTTTGAATCACTGCTTAACTTGACTGAGTGGGACATCTTTGTAGCATTTAAATTAAATGTATTCTTTGCTCTAGATTTAAGGATGCAACTTCGTGAAAGATAATGCTTTCCCTCGGTTATCCTGGTTGCTAGGTGGAAATGAGGTTTATGCATAGTCAGTAGCTCGTCAGAAGAGGATCCTGTTTCCATTGCTCAAAGCACCTTTTTAGAGGGGGAGACAGGCTTAGTGCCTGCCTAGCATGTGTGAGGCCCTGGGTCCAGTCCTCAGGGTTGACTAAGTCAGAATCAAGCCATCAACCTCCCTTCCTCCCCTCTTGTACTCCTCCTTCTTCACACAGGGTAGCCCAGACTGGTCTCATGATAGCCCTTTGACCTCAGCCTCCCAAGGGCTGAGATGACAGGAATGGACCACGCTGCTCAACTCACGCTCCCCCTTCTCAAAATTCGACTCATCAAATTGGAGAGCACCCGTGTGGACAAACATCTTACCTAAATATTGGCACAGCCCAACAACACTGGGCAAGGCCTGTGAGCGAGCTCTTTAGGGTCACTGAGATGCACATTGGATGTAAACATCCTCCATTTCAAGGACCACAATGAGCTGCCTCAGGCAGTAAAGAAACAATACCGTGTACACATGCTTCGAGCCATGAAGCAGAAATGGAAGCTGAATGAAAGTTCCTCAGGAGTGGAGCTTAGTCCCAATGCCTATCACCCCTCATAGGTTGTAAGTATACAATTGTGAATTAACATGTTAATTTGATGTCCACCACAGCCACACAGGTGGACCTTTATTGACAAAAAAACTGAGGTCTTCTGTGAAGTGAGTTACCCAAGGTCACATAGAAAGGTCAAAGCCAGAACTTCACGAGCCCTGTTATCTGAAGGAGGACAGCAGCCCTCCTACCAACAGGCAGTGCTCATTGGTACCCAAAAGGCATCCCAGGCATGCCAGAACTATACACATTTCAGAGATGCTAATATGGAGTTCAGAAAGAAGTGCCCCCACCCCCACCCCACCAGTCGGGAGTGGTGACATGGTCCAGAGGCTTCATCTTGGCAGAGTGCTTTAGCTGTGTTATGAGGATCACACAGTGTGTGACAGGGAACTCTGTTCTTGTGTCTCTCCCACTGGGTGCTCCACACCTCCATACCACAGCACCAGGGGGAACCTTCTCATAAGCACTCAGGTATCTCGGTGCAGTCTATGTTGTTAAAGGGAATTCACAGACTGAAAAATTGTAAAGAACAGAAACATACGGCTCACGGCTTTAGACTCTAGGAAATCCAAGATCAAAGTGCTGGTAGGTTTGGAGTCGGATGAGAGCCTAATCTTTTCTCCTGGTGCCTTGAATGTTGAGTCTTCTAGCAGGGAGGGACCCTGTGTCTTCTATGGCAGAAGGACAAAGTAGCACTCACCCAGTTACATCCTAGGTCAGATCTGCAGCCCAGGCATGTAGAGGGTTGCATTCGAACATAGAACTGTGTAAGTTAACTTGCCACCAACTGCTAGGTGACCCAAACTTGAGTCTTCGATGCATCTGTTCAGATGAAGAAGCTGTGTGACAAACTTGTTAGAGGAGATGTAGTGCAAATAGGGCCAACATAACTCAACCATAGAGATGACAAGACAAAAACCCACACAGAAATACTCGAAAGATCCAAGGAGCAAAAAGAGAAATCCCAGTGGATAGGAAAGGAACAATGTGGAGGTCAAGGGAAGAAAACCTCGAGTTACTACATCCTCTCACATCACCTGAGCTTCACTTTGGAGGTTGTTGGCTCCTGGGGCGTTACTTGGGTCTTACCTTCGAACTGTTGGAAATCACGAAGGTCCACCCTGCTTCACCACCAACATTGCCGCGGTGGTTTGGGTACATGGGACTGGTGGTCTGCTTTCAGAGTGCAGCCTGCAGTGGTCCTGGTGGGTAGAGGGTCCAGGTCTACTGGAAACGGAGCTTTACCAAGAGAATGTACCAAGTGTTCCGTCTCCACCAGACGACACTCATGAAAAGAACATCTTGGGGCCTGTCCCTGTGACATTCACACAGCAGAGTCAGGTATGAACCCTGACGTGGACAGCTTGACATTCACTGGATGACTCTGTTCCCAGTATCTCCTTTTAAAATTTCCCCCAGCAAGACCCTTGAATGGAAGGGAACAATCTTTCTTTAGTGTTGTGTAAAATGTGTAATTAGCCTTGTGCTTATCACCGTTGGTATCATTAAGCTTGGAGGCCCAGTTTAATCTGGATTCTGCTCTCTTCTCAATGTCAGCCTGTTTCTGGACCAGTACAGAGTCAGCCTTGTTGATGCAATAAAGAGATTACTCCAGCCCACAGTAAGTATGTTTCTATTTTCTCCTGCGTACTGGCTACAGAATAATTAGTCTGTGCACAAAGATGGCAGGAGTAATGGAATGGCAGGATTAATGTCATGTAATACTTTAATACTTATTATGTCCAACTTCAATTGGGTCTTCTGATCTACCAGATTCTTTCCTAATCATAACTAGGAAACTTCTTACCCTTGGCCTTCTGATAAGGGACACTGTGGGTAGTAAAATAAATGAAACTGCTTCAAAGATAGTGTGAGATTATTTTTATCAAAGAATTTCTGGAGCCTTTCCCTTTGATAACAATATCTTCATATTAAAGTAGAATTATGATATTGAAATTTTTCTGTTGACTTCTGTCATTTTAAATCCCTTCAGTGGTAACCTTTGTCGTGGGGTATTTATTTGTAGCATAAGAATACTTTTTTCTTTTTATTTCTGTTTATATCAAAGAAAAAAGGACTTCCAGATGAATCTGTATATTAAAAGTTCTTTGCTTTAAAAGGAAGCCATTATTTACATATTATAAATATTAGGTCACAATGAAGCCAAGCATGGCATAAAATATTGTGCACATTTTTACATTTATATATCCATTTATGCCTGTGAGTAAATTACAGAGTTTGTATCCACTCGTATTTTGGTTGAACTGTAGTACTAGGCTAGGAGGTCCTGGAGACTAAACGGAGAGTTAATATACATCTATTTAAAGTCAGAAAACGAGTTTAAAGCTCATGCATTAAAAAAAAAAAAAAAAACTTGTAAGTATGTAAGACTCTTTGCTGTGCCACAGGAATTTAAAACAGGTTAATGGTCTTAGTGTAATCGAAGATAAGAACTCACAGTTATCTGATATGACTGTTCTCTCTCTCTCTCTCTCTCTCTCTGTGTGTGTGTGTGTGTGTGTGTATGTGTGTGTGCGTGTGTGTGTGTGTGTGTGTGTGTGTGTGTGTGTGTGTGTATTTTCTAAAGTTTTGTTTCTGAAGTCTTTTGTGAAAGACTCTAGCCTTGTGACCTCAGTGAGACTTATAGACTAATACCTTTCAATCTTCCTTTTATATCTTTCTCAGTCTGAAGGCTCCCAGAGCAATTTGATAATCATCCATTGCCTTACACTATTGCTTTTTATTTTGTTATCTCTCTGTAGTTCAGAAACTTTAAATAGGCCTCTCGGAGGAGTAACCGCAGCTTTGTAAGTGGCAATCAATTCAATTAAATTGGCCTTCTCGATTCTGCTTGTGAAGTGGGGAGTAGGTCTTGAGGCAAGGAAGGGGCATGTGCCAAGCCGCTGCTGGCTGCTGCCACATGGAGGAGGCCGCCCAAGTTGAGGGCAGCAGGAGGAATGCCGGGCCTCTTCTGGGCCTCTTCATCTCCCCTGTTAGCCTTGGAGGACGCTTGCAAGCATTTGCAAGACCGGGATTCTCAGGGAGGGCACTGAGATGCTCGGATGCAAAGACACTATGAAAATGTCTCATACATAAGCACAATGCTTTCAAGGACTCCCGGATCTCACACTGCACAAACAGCACTTCACTCATCACCAACACCCCTTCAAAGCCTATTTGTGGCAAATACTCCATTTTGCAGCAGATTTGCATGATTTACAATAGGAAACTGCCCAAGCTATGAATAGACCTAAATGCAGATTGGACTGGAATCTCTCGAGGCTCTCTGTACCGGCTGTTAAACCCTGAACCATGCTCTTCCCTTCCTGAAGTGTGGTTCCACACAGCAGCCCTCTCTGAGCCAGGACAGCTACCCACTGACGGACAGCCAGTTCTTAACCTCCTGGAAGAGAAGGATAGGGCCAAGCCCTGGAGCAGGTGACACTTCCACATGCTACATACTGAGGCTGAGGCCAAACCCAGCCTGCAGCATTAAAGCCAGGAGTAGGATACCTGACTTAGGCTCCTCACAGGATTGCTGGCACTCAAGGCCATGGACTGTTCTAGTTTAAAGTTCAGGGGGGCCACTATCAGAGAGGAAGTCTGAATAGCAATGAATAGCAATATGGACGTATTGAAACTGCCACTCAGAATCTCAGGTCTGTGGGGGCTGGGGACTTGCACCCTGGGCCTCCACCCTGTGGATCCTAGAAAGGTCACGTGGACTAGGCAATCAAGAATCCCGGAAAGGTCATGTGGACTAGGCAATCAAGAATCCTGGTCACGCTGGGCGTGGTGGCGCATGCCTTTAATCCCAGCACTCGGGAGGCAGAGCCAGGCGGATCTCTGTGAGTTTGAGGCCAGCCTGGACTGCCAAGTGAGTCCCAGGAAAGGCGCAAAGCTACACAGAGAAACCCTGTCTCGAAAAACCAAAAAAAAAAAAGAATCCTGGTCACAACTTGTGCTGGTGGGCCTGAGGGTTCCCACCTAGTAGTGGTGAATCTTCTACCTCTCATGGCTGGTTCTTATACTTCCAAAGGACTTCCCCCACTGAGTGGACAGTCATAGTTCAAGACTAAGATCGCGTGCAATGGCTGCATTACAATTAAAGCTAGCTATAGGCTCCTTTTAAGCCTAGACAATTCCTCCATGGTTCTGTGGCCCACGGTATGAAGATACTTCAAGTGTCCCCCAAGGAAATAACACCAGTGCTACACTGGTGGATCCCAAGTGTTTGGTGGTCTTGTGTAGGATACTGCAAGTTCTCAGGGTCTGAGCAAGAGTCACCAAATGCTTCAAGTTCCCAGAATGCTGGAAGGCATTAAAAAAAAAAAAAAATGGAGCTTACTTGCCACCCAGATTGATAATCCTCACCAAGGCAGCTAGGGGATGTGGTGGCACATGCCTATAATTCCATTATTCAGGGGGCTGAGGGATTATGAGTTTGAGGGCAGCCTGGACTCTATGGCAAGTTCAAGGCCTGCCTAGACCACATAACAAGACAGTAAGTCTCTGAAACGGCAGCCAGTCGTTGCTCTACCAGCCTGTTGAAGTTAATCTAGGAGACAGTGGTCCTAAGAAGAAATGGCAGGCCGGCTGACGGTAGGCCCAGCTGCAGGTCCAGCTCAGCAGTACCAGGCTCTGAAACCTCCTGCCATGGCCTTTTTGCCCCCAGTGAGGGGAAAATGCAAGTTCACCCACACTCAGCTCCGGGACCCTAAGTCCTACTTACCAGGGTTGGCATAGTTAGGCTCTGGAAATGGAAAGCGTAGGCTCACATCCGGCCTCTATGGCTGGTGGTTTCGTCCTCTAGAAACCTCTGTTTCTCCCCAGTCTCTTCCTGAAGAATGAGAGGAGCCAGTTCTTCTGTGTGGTGCATGTGAGTGCTCCTCTCCTTGTTGAAGGACGGATGACCTGGAGACTTTCAGACAGCAGCAGGGACAAGGTAGAGGAGGCGCTTTCTGAGCACATTGAGAAAGGCTGGCAGGAAGGAAAGGCTGTTTTCCTGATGCAGACTTCGGGGATTTCTGCACATAACCATCAGCACCTGCTGCTTTCCTCTGTGGCCCCCAGTACAGCAGAAACTGACTAGTCCCAGGGGAGCGCCTACTGAGTGAAGAGGACACTTTTTATACATACAGCCCCTCTAGGTAGGAAGAGAGCCAATAGGCTACATCAGTGGGAGTTAAATCATTGCAACATGAGTGTTTGGGTGTCAGGCCCGGAAAGGAGCAAACTCTGTACTTTTGAGGTGTATCTTTACTTGATTTCTAATTCGACCAAATCAGCATCTGGGGGTCAGAGGGTCTAAAAACAAGTAAGACAGACAAAGAGGGCGTCTGTCCCTGCTGCTCTGTTTTTATGCTGGAGGAGTCACAGATGAGGGGAAATAGAGTCTAGCCTCTCAGGTGGGCCCTGGCTTGTCCCAACAGCAATGTCAGATCCTAAGGCTGACCTCAAGTCCTCAGCTAAATAGCCCCAAAACCTGGAGAGTCACCATACCAAGCCCGGGGCTTCTATCAAAGAATTAAAAAAAAAAAAAAAAAAAAAATGCCACCAGCCTGAAACGGACATTTTCTTCAACTCTAGGAAAACTATATACACAGTTGGCTTCTGTCAGAGTACTATTAGGAACTCTCTAGAAAAGAGAGATATAAAAAAAAAAAACCCTGTCTTGAACCCCCCCCCCAAAAAGAACCCTGAAATCAATAAATTTTACTCATCCCAAGAAGCAGCATCCCCACTTCTCTTTGCCCTGCTGATAAGTGGTTTCTCGTTGCTAATGATTGATGGGGTGACTGCTCATGGCCATGTTCTCTAAAGTCTTGACAACAGCAATGTCCTATATCAGAAGACCCGAAAGCAATTTCAAATCTGGCCAGAGCAGCCTGCAAGTTGAACAGCAATGACAAACAGCAAATGACATCTGCTAATATTCCTCTAAAGTGGCCGTGTGTCCCAGAGGGGAGCCAGGCCTGTGAGGCAGTGGGGGCTCACACAGGACTGCAAGGAGGCAGGCGGGACTGTCGTACAGACAGCGCTCCAGCTGATTATCACCACCTGCCAATCGTCCACAGCTCAGAAACATCACAGTAGCCCGTGGAGTAAAGGGCCCTGCCGTGCAAGCCTACTGACCTGAGTTCAAACCCCTGGAACCACCATGGAAAGAGAACACCAGAACGCCATCTCCTGACTCCAACACGTGCACTCGCACAAATGTGCTGGAGTGCACACACAATAACAACAGTAATAGTAATAATAATAAAAATAATAATGAAAAATAATCCTTTACCTGTCGCTGTGAAATTAATATAACCTCCTTCAAAACCAGGCCCTCGCAGTCACGAGATCCTGGAAGCCCTGCCTATGTCCAGGAAGCGCTGCAGTTGAAAACCACCAGTCCCCATTTTAGAAGAGCAATTTCTTTTTATTGAGTGACTTCCTCATCTTTTTGTTCAATCTAACACCTCTGTTTACATCGGAACAAACCGCTCTTGTTTGTTTGTTTGTTTGTTTGTTTGTTTACCTCAGGGAAATTGCTATGTCTGAGTGACTGAAGCCGTGGTGAAAACCACTTGGGTTCCTGCCTGCTGGCCAGGTCCAAGGCCCAGCAGCTCTTGG